GACAAGGATGATGGGGGTTCTCCAACTGATGATTCTGGCGGGGATGATTCTGATGCTAGTGAAAGTGGAGGTGAAAAAGAGGTCAGCTAGTTTGCTTTTCTTAATACTTTTGAGCTGAATTATGAAAATGTATTCTATAGCTCACTGATCTTCTACTTTCAGAAGCCTGGCAAAAAGGAGGCTAAGAAAGAGCCTTCAGCTTCCAAGGCACCTGTCAAGAAGAAATCTAGGGATGGGGCTGACGATGGTTCAAAGAAGAAAAAACAGAAAAAGAAAAAGGATCCAAATGCACCAAAGAGAGCGATATCTGGTTTCATGTTCTTCTCTAAGATGGAAAGAGAGGTGATTTCCTCACACCATGCCCTCAATGCATAACGTTTTCTAAGTTTTATTTTTACTCAATCTTTTAATTTGTTTCGTAAGAGACTAGGATTAATTAAGAGGGAACGAGTTCAAACCCCTTCACGGTCACTTACCTTAATAATTAGTAATTCCTGTGTTTCATGGCATCAAATGTTGTACGGTTGTGGTTGCATCGTGAGATTAGTCGAGTGTACGTAAACTGGCCCGGACACTCTCAGATATCAAAAAAGAAAAAATAATAAAATAATTTGTTTCATAAAAAGACCCTTCGTTGCTCAACTGATTTATACGTCTAAATGGAGAATAAAAGATGGAGAGTAAAGTTGAAACTTTCAAAATGGTAGGAGAAACAGAGACCTTCTGTATAGTTTATTTTATTTTAATTTTTTACCCCTAATCTATGCACTTGGTTTCCATTTTTGCTTTTAACCTTTTAAAAGTTCTAAAAGTTCCAATTATAAGGGCAATTGGTAATGGAGGTTTCTTTGTTGAAACACATTGAAAGATGGGAGTCATGTTGAAACTTCTAAACACAAAGGGTAAAATTGATATCAGCTGCATACTAATTTTCTTGGGTTGAGTTCTGCCATTGTTTCTTTTATTTTGATTAATTCTAGGAAATGGATGGTTTTGCTTACCTATATTTCCCCGTTGCAGAACATAAAGAAAAGTAATCCTGGAATTTCTTTCACCGAGTTGGGGCGAGTACTTGGAGATAAGTGGAATAAGATGTCTGGTATGTGCGACTTCTAAAACTATTCAGATCTCTTGCATAAAAAATATCAATAAGTCTTCATGTATTTTCACTGAGCCATGATCAATTCACATTGCAGCCGAAGACAAAGAACCATATGAGGCGAAGGCTCGGGACGACAAAAAACGTTACAAGGAGGAAATCAGTGGCTATAAGAATCCACAGCCAATGAATATAGATTCGGGTAACGAATCTGACAGTGCATAGTAGATAGATATCAATTGCTAGTCTCATGTTGGCTCGTTTATATAGTACAAAGGAGATGATGCCACCACCAACCGACATGTTTTGCGTTTTTTTTTTATGCAACTTATAATAGGTTGTATTGGCATGACATTAAACTAGTTCAGGGATAGTTGAGGAATCCCAAGTGTTGAGCTGAGTAGAGGTGCTGGTTAGAGATTGAACTTTAAGCTAACACAATCTAGTAAATATTAACAATTATTTTGCTTCTGTATTTTGGGTATCAGTATTTTTTTTTTTAATATTACTAATTTTTAAACCTTTTATTAATATTACTATTTTTCAAACTTATTTTTAAAATATTCTCACCATTAAACTTATTCCAAAAATAATACATTCATAAATTCCTCTATCTCTTGAAGAGACGAATTAACGTATGTGGCAAAATATTGCTTAGGTGACCTATCTTTCTTTTCTTTAAAAATAATCCAGTTTAGTGGACCGTCTATATATTTTTCTTGTCAACTTAATCAGAAGTTCAACTTTTTTTTGGATGTGAGAATATTTTAAAAATAAGTAAAAAAAAAATAGTAATAGTAAAAAAAAAAAAGGACTTAGTATTTTGCTTGGGTAAAACGACTTTTATTGGTTTGAGAAAGATGAAAAATTGATGCAATCAGAAAAAATTGTCCGACAAAGTAAGGATTGATATTCATAGAAAATAGCATGGCTAATATTTTCTAGAACTTACTTAGGAATGCAATAGGCAAAAATTTATTGCGGTCCCGTAGTTTCAAAGCATTCATTTAGGTTCTTTTGACTTTGGTTCATTTTAATCATTTTATTTTAAAAAGTGATCCATTTTGTCTCTAAGTTTAACACCAATTTTATATTCAATAGAAATTCTTCAATACATATTTATCACTACATTTCAAAAAATTTAGCGAGCGGAGTGTCATACTAAAATTATGATAGAAAAAAAAGAGATAAAAATAAAAATGAATTGACAAAAATGGTCAGTATTCAAAATTACACATCAAAGTTATTTTCCATATTTTTTTAATGTTAAATTCAACTATCTAAAGATAATCTTCCTTTTTGCAATGTATTGATTTGACCCCATAAGTCAAGACTGCCACCCAAATGGATGAAATATTAACTTAATGTAGGGGTTGGTTACATAATGATTTTATTGAAGCCTAAAATTAAGGAACCAGCAAATCTAACAGAGAAT